ATGATGATGATGATAATGGTGATGATGATAATGGTGATGATTTGGAGCTTCAGATTGTGGAGGACTCTTTGTTTTCTGATTCTGTGTTCACTTTCAGTGATGGATTAAATATAACAGTTGGTCATGAGTTTGACGATAAGGAAGCAGCGCAAGAATATGTTCGAAAGGGTGCAGCTGTGGCTCGTTTTAGGTATACTACGATGAGGTCTGATAAGAAGTTATGGGAACTAAGATGTAAATTTGCTGGATCCGGCTGTAATTGGAGGTTGCGTACGGCATTGATCTTAAACTCGAAGCGTTGGAGTGTAAGAAAACACAATCCCATTCACAGTTGCAAACCCGTTTCGAAATCAAGCAAAAGTATGAGCGGTACAAAAAAATTGGTTAGAGATTATTTGAAGGATGAATTTCCCGGTAAACTTGATAACCTTATTTCCCATAACTTCTTATCAGACCTCATCGTAGTATACCTAAACCGAGCCACAGCTGCACCCTTTCGAACATATTCTTGCGCTGCTTCCTTATCGTCAAACTCATGACCAACTGTTATATTTAATCCATCACTGAAAGTGAACACAGAATCAGAAAACAAAGAGTCCTCCACAATCTGAAGCTTCAAATACCTCTTCATTGCATTGGGTGCAACGGTCAAAGGATGGAATTACATGCGTAAAGTGGTTGCTATTGATGCAACCTTTCTTACAGGCCAGTACAAAGGTACATTAGTTGTTGCAACTACACAAGATGGTGACCACCACCAATATCCATTGGCATGGGGTATAGAGAAAAAGATGCATCATGGAGGTGGTTTATGGAAAGATTAATAAATGCAATCCCAGATGGACCTGATGTCGTTGTGATATCTGATCGACGTAGAAGCATAATAAAGGCCGTTAGAGAAGTGTACAAAGAAGCTGGCCATGGATTTTGTGCGAGACACATAACGCAAAATCTGAAAGTTAAGGTTAACAGAGGTATGAGAAGAAAGAGTTCAAGAGGTGAAACTGTCGCAGAAAGGATTTTCAAATGCGCAGAAGCGTATACGTTGCACGAGTTTGAAGAGAGATTTATTGATCTAAAGAACAGGTATGAACTTTCTAACCATTATTATTAATCAGACAAATCAGAAACATGTGACCTTGTGACCATGGAACCGGGTACCATGTGACCATGGCATATGGTACCATGTGATCATGGTCACATGGTCCCATGGTCCCATGTGACCAAGTAAATATGGTACCATGTGATCTCTGTCCATTAGTACCAAATCGGCTAATCTAGATGATGTCATCCTGAGACCATGAGTCTTCATTTTTGTAGGTATCCCAAAGTTGCCGAGTATATGCAGAAAGAAGAACTTGATCCCGAGAAATGGGCGAGGTGTAAATTTAAGCGCGAAAGGTACAACTTGTTGACTACAAATGGGGCTGAATCAAGCAACTCTGTTTTGAAGAAAGCAAAAAGGTTTCCGGTGCTAGGCGTGCTTGATATATGTCTTTCAAAGACTGTAGAATGGTTCGATCGGCGTCGAGTGGAAGCAAGATGTGCCGATGATTCTCAAAAACTGACACCGCATGTTGACAAAGTGCTACATGAGCGTTACGAGATGGCGTGTACGTATGAGGTAATTGTGTTGAACTCTATTACAGAAGAGTTTGAGGTGACCGGTGAAAAAGGTAGAAAATACTTGGTCAAAATCGGAGATAGATCGTGCAGTTGTAGAGTGTTTGATATTGATAAGATCCCATGCAGTCACGCAATCGCAGCACTCCATAAGGTTGGGAAAGCAAATATGATACCGGACTTGTGTTCTCCTTATTATCTGCGTGAATCATGGGGTCATGCTTATGAAACAACTGTGTATCCGGTCCCCGATTGTTGTGAATGGAGCATCGATAACCCAGATGTTGCAAACTGTGTGGTTTTACCTCCTATAATGGAAGAGACACGAAAAAGTGGGAGGCCGAAACAAAATCGCTACCCAGGTCCTGGTGAATCCCGGAAGCGGATCCATGTCATGACAGGAGCATCATCATCAGCAATGTGTGAGAGTACACTTAATTTTGAATGAAAGAAAAGACAAAAATTGTATAATAATATTGTATTGTATTTCATGTAATTTGATATTTGTTTTACTGTATTCCATTTACTTTTGTGTGTGTAAACATATTAAAAAACATTAAATAAGTCCATCTCATATGACTACCGATTGTGATCCATTGTGACCAGCATGTGACCAATGTGACCAAAATCAATTTTGCACTATGTGACCATTGTGACCGGATGTGACCTGTGACCAAGTGACAAAGGTAAATATAGGGTTTAAGGTGTATTTTAGACTGTGGTATGTTATAACAAGGTATAAGGATCATAAATATAGTATTGTTGAGAATTTTACAAAACATTATAAGTAGGTTGTAATACAAAACCACCAAAAATGTCAAAATCCTTCATAAATGACTATGAACACTTGTGGAACACATATGGGAAGACTACTTTTACATGCAGAATTCGTAATAATCCATTTTAGCACTTGAATATAGTAACTAGGTGTTTATGTGGAACATGTGACAACATTTGTATTATAAGTAGGTTGTAATACAAAACCACCAAAAATGTCAAAATCCTTAATAAATGACTATGAACACTTGTGGAACACATATGGGAAGACTACTTTTACATGCAGAATTCGTAATAATCCATTTTAGCACTTGAATATAGTAACTAGGTGTTTATGTGGAACATGTGACAACATTCATATCGATTCAATTGAAAGAATTGACAAATTCGACCTTGTGACCATATGTGACCAACTATGATCCCATGTGACCGAAAATATGTGGGACCCAATTTTGAAATTGCACAATTTTTGTGGGACCCAATAACATCCAAGTGTACGGAAATGTTACGGTTGACAATTCAACCCTAGATTTTCGATGGGACCCATAATCCATTAATTTTAAGCCAAATCTCTTTTCCCTCCAACATTTTCATGCCAATTAATTTTTTACCTCTAACTCTTGTGGAACACATTTTATATCTAGATTTTGTAGATGTTGTAATTAAAGAAGTTCAGACATATAATTAAAGAAGTTCATAACATAATATAATAAAAAAACAAAGAAAGGTCATACTTAGGTGAAATAAAACATAGTCAGTCCTACTTCTTCTGAACTTGGCCATTTGCAAATATGGCGGCTGCCAACTGCTCACGGATCATGGAGATGTTGGCATCACAAATCATTGGGCACAACGTTTTTTCTTTCTCTAGGCATATCGCATCGACATACTTCGCAGCAAAAACACCGCAGTCACAACCGTTAGCATTCTCAGGTAGTCCCTCCACATACTCAATCTCCAGTTCTTCTCCATCAAAGAAAGATTCTGACCCAGCAAGGAGACAAGCCTTAGGAATAAGACGACTTAGTTTCTGAACTACACTCTCCACATTGACCCTTAGTCTCGGTTGGCAGTGAAAAACTTGAAGCAATTTCTCATTGAAATCCACCAGAATGGTGTTCCAATGGCAACTGATTTGATCGTCTGAAAGGGATGGAATGTTAAGTACACTTACAAAGCCATTGTAAGTGTTCAAAGGCGTTCCTGCACACCCAGTTGGAAGGCTTCCTTCGAAGTACGGCTTCAGAGCTCCCAGAGTTGACAAGTCACCAGATTTTTCCCACCACTTGATGTGCTCCGTGAAAATAGTGTCAGCAACCATATAATTGCTTCCTATGTAGGTCACCGGGTTGTTCATAACGCGGAGTCGTAACTCATACATTGCCTCCTCAATATGCTACATAAGGGCTTCTTTTGGATGGTCCATCAGTAAGCTTCCTCTTTGTTCTTTTCAACTGTTCTGTATCAGAGGAGTCAACTGTTGGTGGAGGTTGATTGACTTCATGTTCAACAGGGGGGCAGACAT